AAGAATAGACAGCCAGGGTACCTGAAAGAGGCAAAGCCAAAGAGGGAGTCAGGAGCCGGGCATGATGGTGTAATCCCAGCACTCAGGAGGCTGAGGCAGGAGGATTGCCATGAGTTCAAGGGCAGTCTGGGCTACACAGTGAGTTAAAGGCCAGCCTGCACTACAGATTGAGACATCTCAAAAAACAAAGCAAACAATAACCACAAAGGAGTCAGAAAGATTCAGTGAAGCACAAGTCAATGACCAAGGCCAGTATAGTTGGAGACTCAGTGAACAAAGGCCTCATTAGATTGACTGTTTAAAGTTACAAATAATGGTGCCTGACTGGATAAAAAAGATGTGGTATTTCTATAAAATGGAGTACTACTCAGCCATAAAGAATGAGAAACTAGTCATTCGTAGGAAAATGGATGCATATTGAGACCATACTCTTAACTGAAATAAATAAGACATACATGTGTAAATACCAAATAGTTTCTTTGGTGTGAAAAACTAAAAGTGTAAATAAGATCCAAATTGTAAAACTGATAATGTGAAATAGGAAGAAAAGGACTAAAGGAGTAGGGGAAGTGGGAAGGGTAAGGGAAAGCAAATAAGGGACAAGAAAAAATATGAGAAAAGGAAAAAATGGAAACAAAGTCTTTGTAAATAGAAGAGGGTGGAGGAGGTGAAGGGAGGGCAGGGTATGGGGAAAAATGAGAACCAAGATCTATCATGTAAAGTTACAAGATCCCAATGATGAATGTAATTGCATTGTATACTTAAGAAATACCAATAAACTTATAAGATAAAAAAAATTAATGGCACCTGCTACATACACCAAGCTCCTATAAATTCATATCTAAGTCAAACATTCCTGTTTGTAACCTCATGTTAATCTCAATTTGGCTGAACTTTAATTGTGTATATAAAAACTCTAGAAAAGTCTCTTTGGAAACACTCTTCAGTACCCCTCCAAGATTTATTTGCTTATGGGCTTTCCGTTTTCACTTTCCAATAAATGCTGCTTTCTGCTTTCCCACTACAATACTTTGTTTCAGTCTTCTTTTAACTCTCTACCTTGTAATCCTTTCTGCATCAAGAACCCATCAGCCAGATGGTAATAGTCTGCTGCAGCTAGAGAGTTTGGATGTTATCCATCTCTTAATCTTTGAAGCTATTTTATTTGTTTGTTTGTTTGTTTGTTTTGTACCGGGGATTGAACTCGGGTCCTTGCTCTTGTAAGGCAGGCCATCCCCAGCTTCTTTGAAGCTATTTTAAAAGAACTTTATATATATA